GGCTCAGATAAATGACAAATACAACAAAATTAATGAATAATAAAATATCAGGGTTAAAATGAAAAAAGCAATAAGGGAGGAGAGAGTTACATGAACATGGCTGAAATCTTGCTTCTAAAGTGAAGATGAAATTCTAATGTGTTACATCACATTTCACATTACCTATCAGGAGGAAACATACTTGGTTTTCTCAGCGTCAAATTCTGAGATAGCATTTCTCTGACAAATTTCTCAGATAAACCATGCCACAGGTAGCCTGAAGAGAGCACTTACCAGTTTTCTTCTTAAATTTTAAGATGGGAATGTTGAAAATTAAAATAAGTCAGGATGGCATGGTGGCTTCATCATTATCTCTGTTCGACTACGTGCATAGTTACATTATTCTCAATTATAGTTACAAAAAGGGTCCAACTAAAATATTTCATTGTAAGAACTTCAAGGAAAGTCTCACAGAATCCCTATATGTGAATGTTCATAACAAGAAATATAAGTTGAAAGTCTGATTGAAAAAAAAAACATGTAAAATACATAACTATAAGGGTATGAGAAATCTGTATATTCCAAGATGGCAGCCTGGGACAGTCTAACTATAGTGTGTGAAAAACTGTTTCAAGTCAATTTGCAAACTAAGGGCAGTGAAACGTTACTGGCTCATGAATGATGTAGCAGACAGTGTCACGAAACCATGGTAGGTTAAAACAAAGAGACAACGTGGAAAAACAACAACTTGCACCAAGTTTTTCAGACAGGAATTATTCTTAAGAACAAAGATGTCATAAGTAGACTTTAGATTCAAAAGTTGTTCTCTATTAAAACCTGCATATATTCCATTTATAGGTATATGTAGCACACCTAGCGATTCAAGGAGTTATTCTCATTCCCCGTGACTACAGGGAAAGTAAGAATATTTGCATAGTCACATAAGCATTGGTGTTATTTCCAGTAAAATGAGAAATCATGATTCTGTCCTTATAATATTTGATAAGCAGCATGAATCATGAATTTTAAAAATAAAGAGGCATTTAAAATTTAAATTTTATTCTAGTGGTTATTTCTATGGCAGCTATATTTGGAAGGCTGAGATTCTCTTAGTGAGCTAAATAGTCAATATTAACATTATGTTCCTTTCTCTTATTGTATATACACTGTCCTAAAGATGATGACTAGTAATAATGCCATGTCCGTAGGGTTCCAAGACTTAGTTGTTTTATCCATTCTCCAAATTCTAAAGTCATATTTGCTAATGAAATGATGTAATGCTAAATCCCACAGAAACACACATTCCATAGTGACTTGAATAACAACTTCTTTAACAAATGAGAGCTGAATGGAGGTGGATATCATGAGAGAGTCACTAAAGGTGATGAAAACAAACTGAGATGGATCCATAAAATGTTCTGGCTACCAGCCTAGCTATCCACTCCACATTTCCCACAGCAAGGAGCCTCTAAGGGCTTACATTTAAGAGTTCAAATTGCTGAGTAGAAAAATAGGAAGAGTGGTCTTAAGTACTCTTCTGCTGCTTTTCAAACTAAGTTTTAGTTAATAAAATTCACTTCTGATAAACTACCACCACCAAAGTCTCAAATCTGGTATTGTTGAGATGCAACAGAAAAAAGCTGGTGTTTATTTCCACTGTGAAATGAAGAGGAATTTCTGAAGGGAAATAAATATACATAAATTAATATCATTTATAATTTTAAGATAGGCATAAAATATTTATGGAATACTGGTTTAGAAACCAAGATAACCCCATCTGTTATGACCAGTAAATACATATTATGACCAGGTACTGTAACTTTAGTGTATCGGTGTCTGAGAAAGAAGTGTTGTTACATACAAGCTCTTTTTAAAGAAGCATTCAGTGTATACATGTTTTGTTATGACTGGGATGGGAGTGAGGAGGCTTACCAATCAGGGTATGGGAAATGAAGTTAGTCTTAAGATCAAGAACAGATGAGAGAGGGGAATTGAAAAGAAAACCACAAATAGAGTTGGGTCAGGGCCAGTTGATATACGAGCTGTTCTATTTTTAGTTAGTTTTTGTTATTAAGTCATGCTGTATCCATTCTCCATCTATATTCATTATCTTACTAATGCTCCTGTGTGACCCATATGACTCAAAATGAATCCTTTAAGTCTGCTCAAAAGCCTATATAGTTAGCCACTTGATTTATGAACTAATATACTTCCTCTGGGACATTCTTTTAAGTTAATTTGCCATTTGGGGGAAATTTTTAAGAATTTAGTTCTTATATTTTGGGATAAAAAGAGTATTTTTAATGCTGAATAGGTAATATTTTTCAAAACATTATTTTAATTTTTATGTACACAGCCTTGTTAACCATTGCTTTAAAAGTTAGACCTGGGGTCATAGAACGTTGGGGAAGATATTTTGGGAGTTATAAAGTTCAATTTTTAATCTCCCTTGATATCTTCACCTCCTATTTTAATGAAGAGCTTTTCAATTCCACATTAGACTGTAGGCTTCATAAGGACAAAGACCAAGCCTGTTCCATTTATAAATACATATATAGCGCATTTTACAGTAGCTCATAAACAGCTGTTGAGTGAAGGAATAAAAGAAGCTACATTAGATTTCTTATATGCTCCTGGCAGTGTACTAGGAACTGTGAATTCACAGATGTACAGCAGGATCCTTTTTCTGAGGACCCTTACTATCTATGGTAGAACAAAAAGGCCACAATATATGTGAAGTTTAAGTGCAATAATTTAAGCATGTGTGGTGATCTATAGAAGCACTGAATTAAGAGCAGTTTCTTCTGCTTGATGGGAGGTGGGGGTGAAAGATGGGGGAAACTCTAAGGCTTGGAGCCATTGGAATTACATCAAGTGAAAGTTCACCATGTGGATAAGTTGGGCTGACCAGGCAGAGCAGAGAGTATTGGTAAAGGTAGAGAGCTTTGAAAAGAGATGGGAAAGGGGGAATATGGTCAGAGTGTCCTGAATGGCCTAGAGAGGATAGAATAACAGTCAGGTTTCTATGCTAGGGCTAGGAAGAAACAGGGTCACCTGCCTTCACCATTTGCTGGACTTCTTCATCAGGCAGGCAGTCTCCTGGAGAGTGTATGGATTAGAATTGGAAGAGAATGGTTAACAGAAATATCAGTAAAGAAACTGCATTCATTCACTCACTAAGCAAATATTTAAACTGTAGTGTCTGTGATATGCCATGGACACTGATGGGGAATGGGGTTTAAGGATGTAGCAATCTGAATTAACAGATGCCGGGACTAGAAGGGGACACTGGGTAAAAAGAAGAGAGAAAACATAAAGGAGATATTCTGAGGCAAAATGAGCAATCAGTGAGGTCAATGAAAACACAGAAGGATTCCAGGATAGACTTCAAGTTTCTAGCCTGAGCAACTTGTTGGCTCATGATCCACTAACTGAAATAGGAAACAGAAGAAAAGCCAGGTCAAAAGGGATACTTATAGGGGAATGGGCCAACAGGAGAACAAATTGATTTGCTTTCAGAATGGTTGCATTTGGATTCTAATGGCATACGGGTTAGCAGATCAGAAAAGAGATTCAGACTAGAAATTCAGATCTGTCACCATCTACTCCATTTCAAACTGGGAGCATTTATCTAAAAAGAAGAGAACTGACCTGGAGGAGGAAATGGCAACCCACTCCAGTATTCTTGTCTGGAGAGTCCCATGGGCAGAGAAGCCTGGTGGGTACAGTCCATAGGGTTACAAAGAGTCAGACATGACTGAAGTGACTTAGCACATGAGCTAAGGTTTTTATAGAAAAAAAAGAGAACTGAGCTCAGATTAGAAATTTGGGCATATTAACACCTGAAGGGTGGGGAGAGTTTCAGAATTGAGGAAAATAAAGGAAGAAGAAGGATGTGGAGGAAACAGTGCCACGAAAGCCAAGGGAGAAGAGACCTTCCAGAACGAGGGGCTGCCAAATGTGCCAAAATCAGGTGAGGATTTCACTTCTTTTGCATTTCAACCTGGCGGGATGTGTTGTTTTTGACACTGGATAAACAGACAAAATTTGTTTCAAGTTGCTACTTTTCAAAATGATACTCCTAAATATGTATATTCTTTCTTTGTAAATGTATTTATCATCTTTGTGCCATATGGGAATGTAACTTTGGTCTCATGGACACTATTCCAGATAAAGAGTGATATTTCCTAATCCCTGCAGGGGACTAATACGAAGCAAAAATTGTTTTCTATACAATGCCTTTTAATGAAAGGGCAGACTTAACGGTCTCAGTTCACAGTACCATAACTCACTCAAGTCATAATAATTCAGTTAGCAAAAAGTCCAAAGCCTAGACTCCTGGCTACTGACTAAATATTGTATTTTTCCTGATAAGAGGTCAGTAAGCATAAAAGTTAAACACATCTCATTTTTATGTTTGAGAAAATAATAATAAAACATATTATCTTGTGTATTCCTTTGTAATCAGCCCTGATCTCCATCCAAAATTCATGGCAACTACTCACTTGTTTCTCTCCCTATAGTTTCACCTTACACATAATGTCATAGAAATAAATTATGCAATACGTAAAAAAATATTGTATTTCCATTCTCTGATACTAAGAACCAAAACTACACACATACACACACACACACACACACACACACACACACACTCAGACACCCATGCGTAATTCAGACCACTTTAGTACACTTAAATGAATTTCCTCATAGCAAAATCAAGACTTTTTTTTTTTTTGCCCCGTAACTTAATATTTCATTTTCTATTACTCAAGACAGGCAGATGATTAGATCACTATCTTCTAGTTGAGAAAATATTGGGTTGGCCAAAAAGTTCGTTTGAATTCTCCGGGCCACCCCTTGCCCCAACCATGCGTCAGAAGACTTTGAATTTGTGAAAGCATTCAAATACTTAAGGGCCCCATTTTTAACTTTGCGAGAAGAAAATATTGCACCAGAGTTCAGATTAGAACTTCCTTTGAATCTCTCAAACACTGCTGAGGCCAAACAGTAGACCGTACCTTGACTTTCTCGAGGTGATCCTGGAGGGAGTCAATGAGAAGATCGCCCACGGGCTGCCATGATCCCTTGATCACCTCAGCTTGGCGCAGTTTGAGGTCCAACTCATCCGTGGCCTCCTGCAGTTCTTGGAGTCTTTCGAGGGCCTCGTCTATTTTTCTCTGCCAGTCAGCCGAGTGCAGGTTCAATTTTTCCCACTCTGTGTTGACCTCCTCAGCCTGCTTTCGTAGGAGTCGTGTGACATTCTGGGCTTTCTCCTCAGGCGGCAGCTCTAAATTGGTAATATGACAAGGTTTTAGGCCACATTCATTTTTGTGTTTTTTTTTAAAAAAATAACCTTGCTGAAAAGGTCATACTGGCAAAAGAAAGAGAACAGTTTCACAAGAGGGCAACCTTCGGATTAATGGCTTTTTTCTACTTTGGAGTTTAGCACATCTGAAGTCACGTCATCCTGAGTGAATCTGTTCTACTTTATATCAATCAGATAATCCAAGATTCATCTAAGCTACTGAGTAGCAAGATGTTAGGATGCACACCACAAGCTTGAATTTACTGCAGAAAAGAAGGCTCTTAAATTGAAAATTAGCTTATAGTCTTTGTGACAATAAACTTCCTCACAGATAATCTCTTTTGTTTGTTGTTTACTAAATGTTTCAATAAGTGATCGCTAATCTCTTTTAATGTTTATTTATGAATGTGCAAACAGATTTATGCACAGTGCTTTATGAGTCCCTTTTCTTTTTCAACATCAAGGTTTAATTTCAATCGATTCTATTTAACCCAGAAAATATGAGACCTATCCAGACCTTGGCAGCCAGAATGGATGGGTTGCTCTGTCACCACTGATCCTTCTATCAATATGTTATTACAGTTCCACATTCAATTACCTCTGGGCTCCTGGTAGAGTTTCTCTAGTCCTTCCAAAGGCTGCTCTGTCAGAAATATTCGTACAGTCTCAAGAGTACTCATGATTACAGGTTCTTTCGTTTTCAATTCCCTCTTGAAGGCCTGTGAAATGAGATGAAAAGAAATGCTGATTTGGCTTGTGGCATTCTTCTCCAAATTAATCCTGGGTGCTCAGAACTTGGTTATGAAATTCCCAGGTCAATTTCTATCTCCTTTATTTATAAACTGATGGCCATAAAATTATAACAAAGGCTCGACGGATCTTTCTGCTAAGCAGGAAAACACTGTGTTTGTACTATGGAGAGCATAGCGGAGCTTTCAAGATACATTAACATCCTTTAAGATATGAATGATTTATTTAAGTAACTTGACTGCCAAGCTTGAAATCTTGAGCTAAAGTTCTAAGACATATATTGCAAAACTCTAGCAGGGCTAATGAAACTTACGCATACCCAAAATAATAGATATCCAGATTATAATGGGAAACCTAAAAGGCCACTTGGAAAAACTTAGGTTGTACGGAAGTATACGACCAACCCTAAATCATAAACATCAGCTAATTTGGTTGTACGGAAGTATACGACCAACCCTAATTCATAAACATCAGCTAATTCTGTCAAAATGTCTGGCAATGAACATAAAGATGTATTAATAGTAGACTAAGTGAAACCTCAACACTTTTGAAAAACATCCATTACATTTTCTGTTGTGACTTCTTTGAGCACGGGAGAAATGTTTTGAGGTACACTGGAGGTAGATTTGTGGGAACAAGTTTCTCTAAAAGAGTGAGCCTAGAACAGATGTCCTGAGGTCATCTAAATCAGTTATCAAATTAAGTCTCTAACCTAATCTTTTTTGATGAAAGTGAAAGAAAGTGAAGTCGCTCACTCGTGTCCAACTCTTTGCAACCCCATGGACTGTAGCCCACCAGGCTCCTCCGTCCATGGGATTCTCCAGGCAAGAATACTGGAGTGGGTTGCCATTTCCTTCTCCAGGGGATCTTCCTGGCCCAGGGATCGAACCCAAGTCTCCCGCACTGTAGGCAGATGCTTTGCCATCTAAGCCACCAGGGAAGTCCAATCTTCTTTGATACAGGGGATTAAAAGACAATAAAAATGCACATTTTCTGCCTTCAAGAAGTTTCTGAATCAAAAGAAGGGAGATAATGAATACACTAGAAACAAAGAAAACACTAAAATTCATACCTAACCAAGTGCTAAGGGTTGTGAGACATCCTGTGAGGCTAGGATAAATTCAGATACCCTGAAACCATTGAAGATAGCTATTGACCCATATTCTGCAATCTCAGAAGGGAAGTCATTAATGAAAATATTAAATATCACGTAAATGCTGAAAGATCAGTGTCAAAACAACAGTAATAATAGTCATCCTGATCTAGGACTTAATTATTTGTATCTTGTTTCAATTCTACCTTATTTTTATAATGTTTGCCTATTGAATTTAAACCTTGTTTTGTTTCTGAGAGAAAACTTAGCAGTATCTCTTTTAAATTTCAAGTGTATCATGTTATAAGAGTACTCTATAAGTATACTGTGTGATACATTTATAAAGAAAAGCCTAATGGTGTTTGCCATTTAAAGAAATCCTGAGTCTGACACTGCAAAAGGATCCATCTTTCAATGTTATTTACAATTTAGCAGAGAGAGGCAAGGTTTTTGAGCCAAAGTAATGAAATTTTATAAGTGGAATAGTAGGATTCAGCCTGTAGATAGGGATGCATCTTCTGTAGAGTTGGATATTCTTGCACCCTTGAAATCATACAGAATGGGTGGGTTATTTGTTCTGCTTACAAGTAAAATTTCCCTCTAATATTTCATTTGTAATCTGTTTGTGCGTGTGCACATAGACATGTATTTGTGTGCATTTGTGTATATAGTTCTTGTATTCCTGCATTTTTATAAAATATCTAATTTTTCCAGATTAAAGAAAATTATTACTTTACTTTGTCTCTCCAGTTGGACTTGACAATAGGAAGGTGATACTGACATTACCAATGATAAAAATAATAATATCTCCCTTTATTGAACTGCTATGTGTCAGTGGTTATACTAGAGACTAGAAATGCAAAGTTGAATGCAAAACAGCCCTTCCTAGGTGGGAACTTATAGTAAATAGTGGAAGATTTGATCACATAAATAATTTCAACACAATGCGGAAAGTGCTATAGGCTTGCAAAATATGGGAAAGGAAATTGGGAAAGGCCTCCTGGAGAAGATAGTAATCACGAAGAATTCTAAAGCAGGAACATGAGTCAGCAAGGGAAAAGTAGGTTGGAGGAAGAAGAAAGAAGACAAAAATGCATGTATGAAGACAGAGGGTAAGTGTGCCAAGTGCAGTTCTCTTAAGTAGGTGAGTTTTTGTAGAAGATAAAGTACAAGAAGAAGACATGTCCACAGATGAACCAGGGTACTGTTCTCATCTCAAACTAATTAGACCTTTAAGTCAGGGTTTGAACCTTAACCTCTGACCATATACAAAGTCTAGGTGTTGTCTTGTAGGTAATCAGGAGCCTTTGAAGGGATTTAAGCAGGAAGTGGCACGGGCACGTGTGCGTTTCAAATCAATTTCTCTGACATTAGTGCAGAGTACATATTTGAGGACAGAAATGGAGTCAGAGAAAACAGGAGGCAATTGAAAGAATTCACTGAAAGGTTATGAGGATCTGATCCAGGGCAATGGTACCAGGAAGAAAAAAACCAGAGTAGGGAAATGTTTAAGAGACTAGAGATGTGGGAATTTGGTGACCAAATAGATGCTGAAGAAGAGGAGAAAGCAAGGGTGAACTCCTAGTTTCTAGGTTGGGTAGAGGAGGGAATGCTGGGTGCAATTAAACTAAACATGAGGAAATAAACTCTCCTGGATTTCTCAGTACACCTATAAAAAGTTCTAACCACATGAACATTTTCCCATACCATGAGAATTAGATCTGTAATCATTTGTCTGATTAATTTTACTGATCCAAGAGGGCCAACTGGTTATAGGCCAGAGTAGTTCTCTAGGTTAAGCTGCAAGGTATCAGAAAGACTGGAATGGCTATCTCTGCAGGCATTTACATTTCAAAAATATAAAGCCCAGACTTTGGAGACATTTCTAGGTTGTAGAATCTGAGATGCATGGGGCTACCTGGCTCCCAGAGAAGAGACCATTACAGAGGGAGGATGGGACGACTGCCATCCTTTTTCCATCATCTGTCATCATCTTTTCCTGGTTTCTTGCCTATGGAATACCTACCAGTCACTCACACAGGAAAATTTTCATCAGATCTCACCATGTCTCCTTAGGGGTAAGGCTTGAACAAAGGGTAGAAGGTAGTGGTGATATTTACTGGAAGTTAATTAAAGGAAATCAGCCTCTGGTCTAGAACACCTTATGTGCACATTCAGGATAAAAATGAACAAAGACGAATATGAAAACTCTAACACTCCTATGAGGGGGGGGTCTGTTGGGCAACAGAGTAAGGGGATGTGATACCCTCAGCTTGGAGATATAACATTCATTCCAGCAGGAAACAGGTTTCGAATGCCACATTTAGGGAGAAGAAATGAGATATAGGAGTCATTCTCTCACTAAGCTAATATACACTAAGGGTCTACGATTATGCTTATAGGCAAGGATTAAAATTACGTCAGTAGATGAGATTGCTCAGTGGAGTGAACTGAAAAGAAAATTCTGGAGAACATACATAAAAATTTAATGAACAGACAGAGAAATTGGATCCTATGAAAAGCTGAAAAGGATTGGATAGGCATAAAGATTGGGAGAAATAAGGACCGTAAAGCTGTTCAAGACAGAGTAAAGAGTTTGAGAGGAATAAAGTAACCAAGAGTGTCCAATCATGACAAAGAAGTAAAGCGAGATCAGCAATGAAAACTGTTCATGAGACTTGGTGAGAACAATTTCAGGGGAGGCAGTAGCTTTGGAAATAGTTCAGCTGAGGAGCAAGTAAGAGAAGAAAGAGAAGGTATTTCAAATGACAACTATTTGCCTAGTATCTTATTTTTCTGAGAGGGAGAAGATGACAGGACAGAGATGATCACAAGGTAGAGAGAGATACACTCTTTTTAGGATAGGAATGGTTTGAACACAGACGGAAAGTTGGATAATCAACCATCCTGGTTTGCCAGGTACTAAGGACCAGGAACCTTTGATGCTGAAACCAGGATAGCATCAGGCAAATCAGGACAGTTGGTCACCACAGTAGAGAGGGATATATATAAAAGACCTCAGGGCAAAGTGGAGATAATTGTTGGGGCAGGGTCTGTCAAAAAGGAAACAGATTTTAATGGTTCCACTAAACTGAAAAAGCTCAAGATATGATGCAATTCCATTGTTAAAAACTGAGCAGCCCTGTGATGACCTAGAAGAGTGGGATTGGAGGGTAGGGTGGGAGGGAAGCTCAAGAGGAAAGGGATATGTGTATACATATAACTGATTCACTTCATCGTACAGCAGAAACTAACACTGCATTGTAAAGCAATTATACTCCAAGAATAAAATTAAAAAACTGAACTGCAAATAATTCAAGGCTGAGGACCACCCATCCATTGTGAGAGACCACTTGTTTGCCCCTCAAGTTGTTGCCAACAGCTTAGCTCCACCACAGCTGCACAGTTTATTTCTAAATATGAGTCACTAAGGATTAAAATAAATCTAAAGAAACGACAAAGGAAGTTCTGTCATTACAAACACATAAGCACCATTATTTTCACATTGGTGCCAGAAATTAAGAAAAGAAAGTAGATGGAAGATAGAACAGTTAAGTGACTGAAACTTGAGAATTTAAGAAGATTTAGACTCAATACACACATACAACTGTAAAAACTCCAGAAAAAAGGGAGAGGAAAAAAAAACTATAAAGAGCAATGTCATGTTAAACATGGTTATATGAAAGGTGCTCTTCCATTTATTCATGTAACACATTTTGAGCACCTACTATGTACCAGACACTGTTCTAGGCAATGGACATCATTGATTCTTATAGCATGGAGTTCAAAAGAGACAAGCTTAATCGAAACATGTATATTATCTAGGGCGAAACAGATCACCAGCCCAGGTTGGGTGCATGAGACAAGTGCTCGGGC